ACTACTACTGGTCTATTTTGCTACATTGTTTGAACTGCAGTATACTGCACTACAGTACTACTACAGGTCTATTTTACAATACCATTTATACTGCAGTATACTGCACTACTGTAGTGCTACAGGTGGATTTTTACTATATTGTTTGTTTTACTAGTTATGCATGGTCCCTTTGTTTTGTGTCCACGTGTGTCCCACAGCTCCTTTTGCGCTGGAGTCCGAGGTGGCATGTTCAAGTGGAGTCTGGCCCGTTTGAATAAGAGAGTCTGTCACATGCTGTTTGGCAGCTTAATGAAGCAGGAGATCGGCTTTTTCGAGGAGACTGAGCCAGGTGAGGAGGAGGGTCAGAAAAAGAAAACATAACAGAGAGAGAGAGAAACCAGATAGAGAGAGAGTGGCAGAGAGAGAAGGAAAGATGGCAGACAGAGAGAGGAGAAACAGAGAGGGCCTCAGAGAGAAGGAAACACAATAGAGAGAGAGATGGGCGGAGAGGGGGAGACGGGCGGAGAGAGGGAGACGGGCAGAGAGGGGGAGACGGACGGAGAGAGTGTCAGAGAGAGAAGGAAACACAACTGAAAGATGGAAAGTGTTCTGCCACCAGCTCAGGATAAGGAATTGTTGGGTAGCTGGTGAAACCCACTTCAGGCACTGGGAGCACTGGGAGGATCAAAGCACCAGTATCGGAGCCCACAGTGCCATGAAGAAAACAACTTATTAAAGACAACTTCTTCTTTTCTTCCCTGGCAGGGCACCTTTGTTCTCGTCTGGAATCTGACACCAACAAGATGAGTCTGTCTGTGGTCCTGAACATGAATGCTCTGGTCCGCAGTGTGGTGAAGACGGTTGGCATGCTGGCACTGATGCTGGGCATTTCCTGGCAGCTCACCTTGCTCACCTGTGTGGAGATGCCCGTGCTCGCTCTGCTGCAGAACGCCTACAGCACCTACTCTCTGGTATGGAGAGTGCCATCTTGTCTTCACACATCCTGATGTACTGTGATGGCCTGCTTGTTCCAATTTATGATGTCATGTAGGCTGTGATGTCATCTTCCTGGGACACACTAATGCTGGCCATGCTGAGCTGCATCACCATCTTGGGACACATTCCCCTTGCCATACAGGGCTATTGTATACACTGTTCTGGGACATAACAACCTAGTGCAACCCCACCCCCCCCTCCATATGATGTCATTTGGTATCCACATATACTGTGTGATGTCATCCCCATAACACCAACCCTAACTTAATGTGTTGTTTGCCAGACTTACTCTCAGCAGGTGCAGGACTGCAAGGCCAGGACAACGGCGGCGGTGGCAGCAGCCCTGGATGGAGTTCGGACGGTGCGCAGCTGCAGTGGAGAAGCCACTGAAGTGAGGAGGTATGAGGAGACCCTGAGAGAGATGCGGCGCATCCAGAACAGAAAGGGCGGCGTCAGCGCCGTGCACCTCCTGCTGCGCCGGGTAGGATGTTCCCACCTCACACCTTTGCTTTGGTGGATGGCAGGTGACTGAAGACATGATTTTGTAATCTGAAGGTCTTTACCCACAATGCTCCTCTTTCCCCAGCTGGTCACCATCTTTGTGAAAGTGCTCATGCTGATTTATGGACGGCGGCTGATCCTGCTGAAGCAGCTGACTGGAGGAAAACTGCTGTCTTTCGTCATCTACCAAAAAAACATGCTCAACAATATGAAGGTGCTTCACAACCCTCTAGTCCTCCTCATAGTGCATATTTCCAGAAGCTTCCTTCACATAGATGGGCTTTTCTTAGGCTACAGTAACAATCACTCTCTCACTAATAACGCTGAACATATTGGAAGCAACTACCTGTGTGATGCAATTTAAAGCTTCGGCTGGTTACGTTAATGTCACAACAGTCTTGGTCCCAGGTTAAAACAAACTACTATGATTCTAGTCAGCGATGACTGTACAGCTGGTTAAGTAAGTGAAAGCAGCGGCGAGCCTGGTTCTCAGATGAACGGGTGCGGATCGGTCATGTTGGCACGTCCCTGAACACACTGTCCCAGAACGTTGTGCACTCCCTCACCTGTGGGACACGTGCAGGTTGTACGGGCACAAAGCAGGGAAAATAAAAGATCCAGCCCAGCCCAACAATCACCTGCTCTATCTGCTGTGGTCAGGAAGGCACTACAGCTGCCTGAAGGCCAAAAGCTATGAGACTGCGAACAAGATTCTCCCCTCTGTCTGAATTAATGAATACTTTGAGCGCAAGCAGCAGGTGGAAAAAGCAGTTCACTGCACAGCTGTACAGTGTATGTTTGCAAATGTGACTTGAAACTTGAAACAGGACCTGGTTGCTGTGTGTGGAGCCATGCTGACCTCCGTGGGGGCTGCTGCCAAAGTGTTCAAGTACCTGGACAGGAAGCCGAGGCAGGAAGAGGCGGGACACCTGGAGCCCGTCAGCCTGGAGGGACGCGTGGACTTCAGGAATGTCACCTTTAGCTACCCGTCACAGCCGGACAAGCCTGTGCTTCGGGTGAGCTCTGGGGAAAACTCTCAGCGGTGCCCCCAGCTGGCTGCACTATGAAGGTTATGGTAGAACTGAATGATGATTTTAGCTCTAGCTGACCTGGAGCACACCATCCCACCAAAGGTCACAGGAAACCTGTAGTTATTCAAACTGATGTCAGAGGGCAGTGTGTGGCTCGGAACAGATCAGTGTGTGATCAGAAGGTCACTAGTTCGAATCTTAAGGCCAGCAGACCGATGCTACTGTTGGACCCTAGAGCAAGGCCCTTAACCTCTATCATTCCTGTGGTTCTGTGCGCTGGCTGTGATACACCCCCCCAGCACGCTCTGTCTATCTTATGGAGAGCAAGATGAGACAGGCCAGAAGACAATTTCCTAACAGGGGTGGATAAGGTATCACTGTTCTATTATAGTGACCTTATTCCAAAAAAAGCAATAGCTTGTAGGCCACCCTTTGGCCAAAATGGCAGTTTCAGTATGTTGAAGAATTTTTTCTAGTTTTTGGTACAATGTGGCATTAGTAATTTTCTGCTACTTTTAAGTGTTTGAGGTAGCGATTGTAAAATGAAGCCTCATGAACCATTTGCTGTATTTTCTGAGATCACTAGATGGTGCTGTTCTAGGGTGCTCTGTGCTCTCTGATAGGGTAGTGTCCTTGTATGAGCCTGAGACAGTATGTTAGCACCGTTGCTATCTATGTGGTAAGCAGTGAAGGACAAAATAATGCGTCGTGAACCATTTGCTGTATTTTCTGAGATCACTAGATGGTGCTGTTCTAGGGTGCTCCTTTGTCCATCATTAGCAGTAAATTATTTGGGTCTGGTGTTTACATTGTGCATACTGTGATGTTTACTGCCCGGTCTTGACCCTTTGGCATGTCTCTCCAGGGTCTGACCCTGACTTTGCAGCCTGGGAAGATGACTGCTCTGGTGGGGCCTTCGGGGGCTGGGAAGAGTTCCTGTATCTGCCTGCTGGAGAGGTTCTACGAGCCCCAGGAAGGGGAAGTCCTGCTGGACGGACGACCCCTGCACCACTACAGCCACCGGTACCTGCACCAGCAGGTGAGAGCCTGCCTCTCTGTGGAAAAATATCTGTGTTACGGTGTAGCAGTTACTGGTGGCAAAAGGCACCGTGAATGGACACGTGGATATAGTGAAGCAGGTAATGCAAGGACTGGCTAAGGCTGCCGTCGTGTTTGTCTCCTAATCTGTCTTGGGGCAGGTGGTTCTAGTATCCCAGGACCCTCAGCTGTTCTCCAGCTCTGTGAGATGCAACATAGCTTACGGCCTTGAGGAATGCTCCCTTGACAAGGTGAAGGAGGCAGCTGTAAAAGCCAGCGCCCACGATTTCATCAGCCGACTGGAGCATGGCTACGACTCAGGTAAACGTACCAGTGTGACACAGGGGCACGTCCCGCGCGGGTCCAAAGTCACGGGTCATGGGTCCCCCATAATGCCTCTGTGCCACAGACATGGGGAAAGGTGCCGCCCAGCTGGCAGCCGGAGAGAGGCAGCGGCTCGCCATCGCCCGGGCACTGGTTCGAGAGCCGCGGGTGATCATCCTAGATGAGGCCACCAGACACATGGATGCCAGCACGCAGCAGGCGGTATGTTCCCATGGGCTGTTGGTGACACGAGTGAGGCACTAGTGTCCCCTAATATTGGGGAGCAGTTGTGTGGATTTGGAAATAGATGAATTAGATGAATTTGGAAATAGGGTTAGATTAGCATGCATTTGGCCAGGTAGTCATGAACTTCAGTGAAGATGTTGGTTCTAACAATACCTACACAGTTCACAAGGGGGCGCTGCAGTGAACTTAAACACAAAACAGTATGCAAAATACAGCCAGCTGTATTCCCTCAGGTTTGTAGTTTGGTCTTAGGGTTTATGCAGCAGATGTTGATGCAGGAGTTTTGAAATGTTTCATTCCTAACTGATGTTCCACCCCAGGTGCAGGATGTCCTGTCTGGATCCGTGGGCCAGACGGTTCTGGTAGTGGCCCACCACCTGCAGACTGTGCAGAAAGCTGACCACATTGTTTACCTGGAGGACGGGGTGGTGGTGGAGCAGGGGACGCACGCACAGCTGATGGCCCTTAGAGGGCGCTACTACAGGCAGAGGGAGAGGCTGTTTGATCTGCCAGTCGGTGCTGGAAACTGAGCAGGCCAGCAAGTGGACTGCAGTTGGTGGGGGCTACCACTAGGGGGCATATTAAAACACAATGTTAAATAATGTCATGGTGACTTAGTGGTAGGGACTGTTCCCTCATGCATCCAGGGTTGGGAGTTTGAATCCCACCTTCACTCTGTGTTCTGTGTCACAGTATGACTGTTGAGTATTAATGTACCTGTGTGTGTAGGCACTTTCACACTGCTGGGACTTTTTTCTGGAACCAGGGACTTTTGTCGTGTTCATACCACAGGAACTCGGCCTAATTGTAGTTCCTCAGAAGCAGTTCCTGAACCCTTTCTTAGTACCTACTCCAGACTCAGTACTTTCTGTTCAAACATTAATTACTGCGGAGGCTATCTGGTTGATTGGGAGACCACAAACGCTGGCACTTGAGCATATGGAATTATTTTTGTATCCCAATTACATTTTATGCATAATTTAATATTTATTGTTTGCGTCTTCATATTTCTGCTTTGGAAAATTTGATCGCTAACTAGCATACTTTTGTTTAACGTCTCTAGTGCTGCCGGTGAAACTTGCCAGCGCTTATTAGCATAATAACGTTACATCGTTTTTTATTCTGTGGGAAACTGAAGATGTTATTTTCATTCATTTCATTTTTAGCATGGATATGGAAAATTATCTGCTGGTCCCGCAAGGGGGAAGCAGAGAGCCACTTTGGCGATGGTTCAACTTTACCAGAAAACCTCATGTATACTTATATGCATGGGTGGCAAATTACAGGATAAACCTCAAGAGGTTTGTATTTTACTGTTTAAAAGATAATTAAACCAACTTTAAAGTGATTTGCAGAGCCTGTGTTTAACTTTTAGTTGTGATTTATGTAACTGCCACTTGTTACTTTCGTGAGAACCAACGAGGAGCAGATTTGGTACATCTCACTGTACACACACTCACGCACATACACACTTTCTGCTGATCTGAATCACTTCACCCTGAAAAAAGACCTTGTGTCTGACAGCACCTGCAAAGTATGTCAAAATACTATGTACAGAAAAATAAAAAGATGGCCGTTATTTACTGATTAGGCATTTATTGGAAAAGAAAGACCCATTCTCAAGACGATAGTGCTCAATATACGTAAAAAAAAGATGCATACAAATCGATACTTCAAATAGTCAACCTTGCTCCCAGAGTCTGGAAATGTTTGCATGCTAATGTCCCATGCAGTGATTTGGAAGTTAAATCGCGCTCTCTTTTCTTTATTACTTTATATTTATTTATATTAGTTAAAATGTCAAAGCCATTACGATATGAAACCTCTGATCTTTTTTCATGGATGAAATAATACAAGCATTGCCAAAGCAGGACAAATGGAAAACACTGAACCTTCTCGGGTTTGTTTTTTGAAAAAGTTTTGTGTATGAAAGCGACACACTCTTGCTTTGAATGTTACAGATACTTCTATTACATTACGGGTGGTATTTATCCAATTAGCGCTTTAGGTGCCTGATTATTTTCCACGTCTCCCTGCGGGTGTCGGCGCGCCAACGCTTCCGCTGTCCGCGCGCATCCGCATGCCCGGGGAATTCCTGCGTAGGGTTCACCAGTCTTTTTTAATTACAAGTTCGCCGAGACTCTTGGTTATGTCGGGTTACGCTTCAGCTTTGTGGGGCATTACTTTAATTTTAACAGTCCAGTTAGGGTGTAATATAACCGTTAACCTCAGGGCAGGGCGGCGACGTCGGACGTCCTGAGAGGTAAAGGTAGTTACCAGCTGGGAAATTTCGGAAGTTCATGAAAAAAATGCCGCAATTTTAAAGAGAGAAGGTGCAGAGGGTTGTGTTTAGCTGTAAAATGTGAGATACCTGTGCTTTTCAGCGCGCATAAGCATGTATGCGTAAAACGCGTGCATTTAAAGATATATTCATGAGTTTTTCGAGTAAGTGTGTATGCATGACAGTAACGGAGGGACAATCCCTACCCATTACGGGAAGGGGGTGCTCTTCCCCCAGTCGGCGAATTTTACAGAGCGAGATCCCCCACGATTTTCTGGATTTCCCGCAAAACAAAATTCTTTGTTATAAATTTGCCCTTTCAAGAAACATATTTTTGTGGTGGGGTTAGGACCCCCCATCGACAGAAAGGCAGGTGTGAGTGTGATGATGTGCTGTGCTATGTGAGTGTGATGACGTTCTGCTCTGTGTCCTTCTCCCAGCCTGGACTTGTATGTTGTGTCGAGATGAGAGTGAAGGGGCCATACAGCTGGGTGTAGCGGTTAGCGGTAGCATCCTTCCTCTGTGCTCGCCGCCGGTCACTCGGATACGTCCTTCCCCGCGTCCCCTGTGGAAGTACACAGACCGCAGGGACAAATCATTCTGCCGGTGCTCTGCTGCTCGGCGGAAAAGCACATGGAGTGTTTTGTGTGTGTATGTGGGAGGTTTGGAGGCCGGTCCTGCAGGGCTTATACGCGCAGGCTTTCAGCCTGCCAGCGCTCTTTAGTTCTGGAGTGGCCCATTACCCTAATGACACCAATTTATATACCCAGAGTCAACTCGAAAGAGACGGCTTAACTAACCCTGATTGCCGCAATCACCGGTAAATGGTACTTCGACGTTGGTTATGAACTCTGTTAGTTGACAAGAGGTTTCTTAGTCTGTGTAACTCGCATAAAAGCGGCAGTGTCTGCATTGCAAGCTAAGGACCCTAACTAACGTCGCCTTTTGATAGGTAGGTAAATACTCCTCCTTCCCTCGGTAAACGCATCGAATATCGCTATCGGGATAAAACCTTGGTATTGGATCAAAAAGAAAATCAGTTGCATCTCCCAGCCCTACTGTGTAGTCAAAAGGCAGCTCTTGTATAGGGTAGATTTTTGGGTGAATGAGCAGTCCGTATGTACGTTGTAGGTGATAGGGTAGGACATACGCCTGTTTTAATCTGAAAGCCTGTTCGCGGAAGGTTAGGCGTGCATGGTAAATTATCATGACGATATAGCCCGTTTAAAAATTAGTTGTCATTCGTAGGACCAACGTGGAAATGAGCTTTAAGAAGCCCCGCAAAGCCAGCAAACCTGCTTGGCGACACCCCTTACGGATAAGGTAACTGGGCTGCAGCTCGAACATGCTCCGTCTGTCTGCCTACTATTTGTTTAGTGGATGCTTTAGAAGGTTAGATTTTTCGGTTCGGTTTCTTCACTTTCATCATTCACATAGTTTGGGATGGTTTTTACCGATGTGTGGAAATGTACACTTAGGTGTGCACATATTTTCTGTACTTCTCAGGCTATAAAAGTGTACAGCCCTTAGTGTTTCATTAAGCATGGATCAGATACAGAATTGTTTCAAAACATAGTTTCGCAGTTTTTTTCTTTTTTTTCTTTCTTTGAGCTATTCTTTTATGGAAACTGATATTTTTGTGGAAAAGTGTAAAAATGCATATCTTCCTTGCTTTCTTAAGAACATA